GGGGTTGAGGGGCGTATGGGGTTATGTTTTCGAAAACTTAAGGTTTGGGGAAGAGGCCTGAAGAAGAGTGATTGTGTATAAGGGCTCTAAGGGTCCAAAGGACCCAATTGGGTACTTGGACCCTTAGGGGGTTTCATGTTGTTTTGATATTCCCAAAGGGGGGGTCCTAAGTACCTATGTGGGGCAGAGTTGCCCAAACCATGCTAATCATTCCTACTGCATTATAGGAACCCTACATTCTACTATATGGGTGGCTGTCAAAATTATGGTCTCTTTTTGGGTCCCTATTATAACACGGCACCTCATATTTAAGGTGCCCAAAAAGGCACCGTAATTTTGACAACGACCCATATAGCTACTTAGGACCCTTTGGGAAACCCAAACCCTAAACCCTAAACCCTAAAACCTAAACCTCATTATAGGCGGTCTTCAGTTCAGCCCACTTCTGTAATTAGTTCCTTTTTGGGATTACTTTATAGGTTAGAAGGGGCCCCCACCCTGTAATAGTGACCATAAGGATTATATAGGATTATATTAGGGCCCTATTATATTCCTATTATACCACTATTACAGGGTGGGGGCAGCTTCTAATTTATAGGTTTCTATTTATGAACCCCAAAAAGGAACTACTATGGAGCCTCTGGGTATGGCCAAGCTCAGTCTCTCTCCCCAGCTTTAAAAACGATACTACAGCCTGAATACTAAGCCCAGGCTTCATAAATCCTCAACATCTCTAAACCCGAAACCTCGTAGACCCCCCAAACCCGAACTCGAAATAGTAGTATCAGACCAAAGTAGTATAGAGCTCTTGTTGAAAGGAACCTTGGGCTACACCATCGGAAAACTCAGTGAACACCATACCAATCCTCTCCGCACGTGCACGCATGGCCGCTGAAAGCTCAAACCTAAACTCCAAATCCTGAGGTTCCCCATAACGGCCGGACCCAATAGACAAAACAGAACTTCTGGGTTGCCCAAGACCGCTTGATATGCAGGGCCCCTCTGTATTGTAAGGATTCTTGCTTCATGGGCATCGGAGTTTTCAACCCATGAAACACCAAAACCCTAAGCCCCAAAACCTACTAGCTCCAGAAAACTCTCGAAGCTGTCGTCACAAGTGACAATCAATTCAATCAACAGATCCTCGAAGACCCTTATGAACCCGCTTATGGACCATAAGTTATGGTGCCTTGAAAGAACCCTTCACCCCAAAAGAAACCCCATTAAAAGCCCTGAAACAAAGGCCCCATAAAGACCCTAGACGGGACCGATAGAGTCCTTAACAGAACTGTTGTAGGAACCCTTAAAGAAAGGAAAACCCTTCGAGGAACCCTCAAAAGGAGCTCTCAGCCGCAGGACCCAGAACCTTTACAGGAAGCCTGAGAACCTAACTCCTTAAAGCAGCCCTTAAAGGAACGTTTAAGTTAATTAATTAGCCATAAACCCTTGGAGGAACCCTAAAACCCTAAAAAAGCCCTTAGACGCTGGCCCCTCAAAGGAACCCATTAGCGAAACCCGAAAGCTCAAAGCCCTAAACTCTAAAGAGGTCCTTTCAATCCAAGGTTAGAAGTATGGGCCCCTAATATGGACCCTTAGGCGGTTTTGAGGAGGTTCTAGGGACCCTTAAGAGTCTATATAGGGTATATAGTAGGTATATAAGGATCCCAAGGCTAAGGGCCCATACTAGCGGCCCAGGGTTCAACCGTTCCTTTCAAGGATCCCTGCAGTTCAAGGAATCCTTAAGTTTCGGTTTAGGGCTTTAGGGCTTTAGGGGTTTGGGGTTTAGGGTTCCGGTTACAGGAAGCCTTAAGTTTCGAGGCCTTAGGTTTAAAGGAAGCCATGAAGGACCCTGTAAATTGCTTTAAAGGGCTCCTTTTAAGGAAGCCCCTAAACCTTAAACCCTTAAAGGAACCCTAAACCCTAAACCCTGAGCCTCAAACAATACACCCATAAAGGAGGCCTTAAAGGAACCCTTAAAGGAACCCTTCAAGGAACCCTTAAAGGAACCCTTAAAGAAAGCCTTAAAGGGCGCCTTAAAGGAACACCCCCTTTCAAAGGAAGCCTAAAAGGACGCCTCCTTAAAGGATGCCTTAAAGGAAGCCTTGGATTGTAGTATCCTTAAGGGAGGGGGGTCCAAGGGGGGTATATAGCCTAGTGATCCCTAATTCTCCCTAGTCCTCCCTAAGGTTCCCTTACAGTCCCCGGAGGATTCCTTATACCCTCCACCCTCGAACCACCCTCCCTTAAGGATCCTATAATTGGACCCCAGGAGCAGGGGCAGACCCTCTACGAGAGGAAGGCTGAGGACGGACCTGAAGAAGTTTGGAATAGTAGGTTGCTTAAAGGATCCTGGGACTTAGTAAGTAGGTTCCTTTAAAGGGCTCCTTTAAGGGATCTAGATTGGGGTATTCTATAAGGGGTAGTTACGACTACTTAAAGGATCATGGGACTTAGTAAGTAGGTTATAACTGGGGTGGGGTTATCCTAATTATAACCTACTTATAACCTTACTTACTAAGTCCCATGAGCCTTTAAGTAGTAGGCTTTAGGATTTGAAGGTTTTTTTGGTTTAGAGGGTTTAGGGTTTGGGGCGTAGGTTTTACGATTTGATGATTTAGGATTTGAGGGTTTAGAGGTTTTAGGATTTTAGGGCTTGAGGGCTTAGGATTTGAGGATCTAGGGTATAGTAGGTTTTAGGATTTGAGGATTTAGGGTATAGTAGGTTTTAGGATTTGAGGCTTTAGGGTATAGTAGGCTTTAGGATTTGAGGATTTTTGGATTTGAAGGTTTAGGGTTTATAGGGTTCTGGGTTTGAGGCTTTTGGGTCTGAGGGTGTAGGGTTTGGGGCTTCTGAGGGTTTGGGGTTTGTGAGTTTAGGGTTTAGGGTCTAGAGCGTTTAGAGTTTAGGGTTTTGGGGGTTTTGGAGTTTAGGGTTTGGGTTTTGGGGTCTTGAGGGTTTTAAGGTTTTGGGTCCGTGGGGTTGGGGTTTAGGGTTTGGGGTGGGCTCTGGGGTATAGGGCTTCAGGTTTAGGTTTAATGACTTGGGTGTGGATACAGTGTGCGCCCGGCGGGTGCGCTTCTCTAGGTATGCGGGCGTGCCCACAAATCGTGCTCGCGTCCGCGTGCAGTCCTGCCCCAACCCTAAACCCTAAACCCCTAAACCCTAAACCCCAAAACCCTAAACCCTAAAACCCTAAACCCTAAAACCTAAACCCTAAACCCTAAAACCCTAAACCCTAAAACCTAAACCCTAAGCCTAAAGAACACAATTAGGGCTGAGGGTTTACCCCCAGAGCCTGCTTATATGGGGCGTTCTTGCTTTCTGCTTCGCTTCGCAGTTGTGCACAGCGGACACATTGTTACTTGGAGGATCATGGGACTTAGTAAGTAAGGTTATAAGTACCTTAATTGGGGTTATAAGTATAATTAAATTATAAGTATTATATAGTTAATTACCTTATTTATAACTCCTTTTACTGAGTCCCATGATCCTTTAAGTAGGGTTTCGGGTTTAGGCCGTTGTGTCTAGACTTCGGCCGGGGTCCTCGGTCGGAGCTTCGGACCCACATGGGTGGCTGTCAAAATTCTGGTCCCTTTTTGGGCTCCTTATAAAAATACGGCACCGAAAATTTAGGGTACCCAAGAAGGTGCCATACTTTTGACAACCACCCGCATGTAAATGGTCAGCGGCGGTCTCGGCAGTTTAGGTTTAGGGTTCAGGAGCTTGGGTGTGTAAGGTTTAGGGTTCTCTCAGGTCTTTGGATGATGTTTTGGTGAATTGTTGCAGGTGTTTTCGGAGATAAAAGCTTCAGAAGTTTCGTCAGAGAGCGGGTTTCGTGAGGGTACGACAGGGTTCTGTCTTCACAAGGCCACAAGGCCTTTGGGTGGTGGAAAGGGTTTATGGGGTTCTAAGTGGCTTCCAGTGGCTTTACAAGGTCCCGCGGTGTTTCGGGAGCTTCGGTGTTGATGTTTTTGGTCTTAGGGCTTAGTTTGGTCGCCGAGGTGTGATTCATGCCTTCTGTTTTGTTTGTGAAGTTTGTGGTGTCGTTGCTCCTGCTCCGTCTCCACAACCTGACAGTCACCTGGTTAAAACATTGCAGGCGCGCTAATCTGTATCGGAGAAGTTGTGTTCATTTAGTTTACCACGTGTGCGGTTATTGCACATGCTGGAAGGGGACAGAACTGACTCTCAAGGCCGCTACTCAGCGATTATATATATATATATATATATATATATATTATGTATATATATATATATATATATGTATATGCATACATATATATATATATACCCACACGACATCCTGGTCTATCTATGTTTAAGAGCTGCTTCATTCATGTGTTTGCTTGTGTGTGTGCTTGGTTGTGTGTTTGTCTGTTTGTCTGTCCTTGCCTTGCCTTGCCTTGCCTTGCCTTCCTGCCTGCCTCCCGCCTGGCCGCTATCTGTCCGTCTGTCTGTCTGTGTGTTTGTCGGTTTGCTGGTGTGTTTGTTTGATTGTTCGTTTGTTTGCTTGCTTGTTTCATTGCTTGGTTGTTTAGTTGGTCGGGTGGGTGGTTGGTTGGTTGGCTGGCTGGTTGGCCGCTTGGTTGCTTGGTTGCTTGCTCGCTCGCTCGCTCGCTCGCGTGCTTGCTTGCTTGGTTGGTTTGGTTGCCTGGCTGGCTGGCTGGCTGGCTGGCTGGCTGGTTGGTTGGTTGGTTGTTTGCTTTTGTGCTTGTTTGTGTGTGTGTGTTTGGTTGTTTAGTTATTGATTTATTGTTCGATTGCCTTTTGATTCTGTTTTACTTTCTTGATTCATTTACTTAGTGGTTTATCTGTTTGAATCATAAAACATATATGCATAAAGGGTGGTTGGTGTAGATTTTTTCACTGTGTGCATTTGCCCTTCATGAATGTATGGTGCAAGTCTGTTTTCTCTGCTGCAGCCCATGAGAAACCAAGCGCTGTACCACGGCCAGGTTAGTGGGTCTCTAGGCTGGTTCGCAGTCGTCGGGCAGTGGCCATGCCAGCATCCTTGTCTCCAGTTTCAGTTCTTCCTGTGGAGTCCTTGGCAGACGCAGAGGAGTCTGGATCACAAGCGCCGCCAGAATCGGACAAGACCTTTGAGAGTTCTTTCCAGGTCTTGGTAGCAATGCAAGCCACAAGACCGAATATCCTACGAGGAATCCCTGTTCATCGGTTTCTGCAACGAGCACCTCGCATGTGGGCGAAAGGGGACTTCAAGCAGCTTTATGGGTTGAGTGAGGTCACAACGAGACTCGATGAATTCTGGTCCCACAGCTGGCGGACGAAAGCCTGGCTGAAGTATGTCAACATACTATACCTGCACAACAGCCAACCTGCTTTTGTGGTAGGTATGCTCTGTGCCTCAGCTGCCTTACTGTTTTGCCGGGTTGGCATCCTGCCATTTTACGTCGATGGAGCGCCGCGAAGTTTCTGGTGCAGTGCCGCTGGTGCAGTGGGCTACTACTTGACTCTGCTCCTCTGGCGGCGGAGAAACTTGGTGCTCCAACAATCCAACACCAACATTTAGGAACGATTGTTCTCCTAGGTCCTAGACCCCTAAACGGTACTTGGAGGCCCTGTTGACTTAGTAAGTAGGGTTAGTAAGATGGGTTATGGGGTTGCCAATAGGGTTTCTATGGGATACTAAGTAGACTTAGTCTATAAGGTATCAATCTTTTTCGGGAACTAAGGAAAGCTTGCCTTCCTTGACATCAGCTGCATCAATCCGACGGATGATTCGCTCAAGGTAGAAGGCGGGCTTTCTCTAAACCGTACTTGGAGGATCATGGGACATAGTAAGGGTTCTTAAAGGGCTCCTTTAAAGGGGATCTATAGGGATCCTTAAAGGGGTCTATGGGGTTTAGGGTTTAGGGTCTACTTGGAGGATCATGGGACTTAGTAAGTAAGGTTATAAGTACCTTGATTGGGGGTTATAAGGAATGGTAAGTATAGTTACCTTATTTATAACCCCAGTTACTTTTCCCATGATCCTTTAAGTAGACCCTAAACCATAATATCAATCCCTATAGATGCCTTACAGATCCCTGTTTATGAGCCCTTAAGGAAACCTGTAAGTTACTAAGTCCCATGATCCTTGAAGTAGACCCTAAACCCTAAACCCCATAGACCCCTTTAAGGATCCCTATAGATCCCTTTAAGGAGCCCTTTAAGAACCCTTACTAAGTCCAGTGATCCTCCAAGTACGGTTTAAAGAAACCCCATAAGCGCTCAGCCTCACCCGCCCTAAACCCTGAACCCGAGCCCGAACCCTATACCCTATAGGGGCTCCTTTAAAGGGATCTATAAGGGTACCTTTAAGGGGCTCCTTTAAGGGATGTATAGGGTTTTAGGGTTTAGGGTTTAGGGTGATGATATAAATCCTGCAGTACCCATAGTAAGGAATATACCATAATTCCCGTAGTTTAGGGTCCTTAAGGTAATGCAGGATTTATATCATCAGCCGTAAACCTCTCAACAGCCTTACCCTAAGGCTTCAAACGGCCCAAAAACCTGATCTAATATTTTCTTTAGGCCTGATATATGGTCTTTAGGCCGAAAAGCCTCAATATATGAGTCCTTAGAGCCTTGTTTTCTTTAACCCTCAAGCCCCAAGCAGGCCTGATCAGCATGGGTGCTTTCCTGAAGAACTCAGAGTCGCTATTGGTTCTATGGGACGAGACGTATGTCGCCAGGTGCGGCTTAGGGTTTAGGGGTTGGGGCTTTGGATTTAGAGTTTGGGGTTTAGGGTTTAGGGGTTTAGGGTTTAGGGTAGGGTTTACTTGGAGGGGCAGGGGACTTAGTAAGTAGGATATAAGTAGAGGTGTAAGTACCATAATTGGAGTTACTCCAATTATAACCCTGCTAATAAACGACTTACTAAGTCCTCTGCCCCGCCACGTAGGGTTTGGGGCTTAGGAGTTAAGGGTGTAGGCGTCCCAGCCTTTCGGGGTTTAGAGTTTACCTGTAGCCTCCATTGTAGTTCCCCTCTTGGTTAACCAATTTTATGGTTCGGACCTTATAGAACACATGTGAGTAAACATAAAACATGAACTACGATGGAGACTATAATAGGTACTTTAGGTTTCGATTTGTAGCTAGTCGGCAAGTTGGAGCTTCGTGTGTTCAGGGTTGCGCCTACAGCCCCGCAGTTTCATTTTGCCAACTTGAAGGCTGTGGTGTATGTTCGAAATAGCCGCTTTCTTGCGCAGCAGAGGGCTGGGTGTGGGCACGGGGAAACTTTGTCATAGCTGGGTAACATTTTACACCTTTGTGGGTACTTAAACCCAATAAGGCAAATGTGCATTTTTATTCCTATCCCAACCATGAACAAGGAAACGCCTGGTGGTTTGCCCAGTGTTTGTGGGCCCCGCGTTGCTGGTTGGCCAACTGGGTGCCAGTATCTTCATCATAGCCACCCTCAGATTCAGTCACGCGGGGCTTTACGCGCACCTGATCTTCCAAGCTGCTGTGGCTTTCCCATCTTTCTTGCTGCTCGCCTACCTGGTCCTGGCGCACTATCACAATGTCGAAGTGGTGCAAGACCAAATCGGCAGCTTCACCATGAAGGATTCTGCGTGCTACTGCTGCTCCCGCGGTCATGTCAAGGATGGCGTAGAGTATCGTATACCTCGTTTTGGGGTCCGTATAATAAGGATCCTAGAATGTAGCGTACTATGCTAGAGTCCCCTATTTTCGGAAACTCCCATGTCAAGGATGGCGTAGAGATGATTTGTGACCGGGTTGTGATCGTTCGCTGCATTGAAGCTTCTTAATAGCTGAGTGGATACACTTTACACTTTTTGGGATGATACGACCCACTATAAAACTAAAAGACCCTAAACCCTAGTACCTTTTTGGGGGGCTTATGAACTCAGCGACTAAGGGTTCCTAGGTTGTTGTAGTACCCTTGTAGATCCCTTATATAGTAACCCTTACAAGTTACCCTTATAGACCCCTAACCCCTAACCCTTAAGGCCTTAACTCAGCAGCTAATAACCCTAATTAAGCCCTATAGATCCCTTAAAGGAACCCCTTGAAGGTACCCTTATAGACCCCTTTAAAGGAACCCCTTAAAGGTACCCCTATTAGACCCTTTTAAAGGAACCCTGCACTCAGCAACTAAGGCATGGTTCGGATCCGTCGAGCACTTTGAGACTGCGGTCCGAGGCGAGGTTCGAAGAGCTTCCGGGCTCTTGTTCAGAGAGAGCCACGGTGTAGGGGTTTAGGGTTTGGGGTTTGCGGGTTAGGGTTTGGGGTTCAGGGTTCAGGGTTTAGGGTTTGGGGTTTAGGGTTTAGGGGTTAGTGTTTAGGGTTTGGGGTTTAGGGTTTGGGGTTTAGGGTTTGGGGTTTAGGGCTTTAGTTTGTTTTGTTGTTTAAGGGTTTTGGGCTTTAGAGTTTTTTGGGTATTTAGGGTTTAGGGTTATAAGGGTTTCGGGAATGAGTTCCAGATACCATTTACCATACTAGCAAAACTTTTGTGGATTTTATTTACCGTAAGTAGATCCATATAATATAATGGTATCTCAAATTAAGTTCTTTAACAGAACCCAGGCTATGGTCCATCAGCTCGCAAATAACGTCTTTTCCTACTGGCGCATTGTGCAAGGACTTTCTCCCATAATGTGGTTTCACATGGATCCTTTGTCATAGTTGGGTAACATTTTACATTTTTATGGATACTTAAACGCAGTAAGGAATAAACATGTACTTTTTTAATCCAATCCCAATCATGACCTAGGATCTGCTGGCACCAGACTTCACAGTCCACCTATCACTTGTAGCTTGCACGTATGTCTTCACCCTGTTGCCCATCGTCGCTTTGATTTGTCTTCGCTTTTGCCACGGGCTGCGCAAGCGTTTCCAGGGGAGACTATGCTGCAAACTACTCCTGTCCACAGTTCCGCTCGCTGTCGGAATACTGACTTATGCGATCCTAGGTGGCTGTTTGGTCAACTTTTCTCTATGGTTATGGTCCTACATGGGTACCAATTCATCTATGCTTTTCCGGTTCCTGCAAGTCAATAGTTACTGCCCAGGATCTTCTTCTCTGTCGACAAGATCCTTCTTCCAAGTCTTCTCGACGTCCAATACTTCCATAATGATCCAGTTCCTCGAACGTCCATCGTGCTTGCGATCTCGAGTGTGGCCACAGTCTTGCTGTGGTGGTGCTTACCCTCGATGTGATACTCCAACAGCGCTCAATTCAGGATCCCTGGCCAACAAACCTTAGGGACCAAATGAACCTAAAAGGGCTTAAGGCTCTTATACCTTTTAGGGATTCATAGTATAAGGGTATAGGAGCCCTACTTGTAAGGGTCATCTGGTCCCCAAGGAAGGATCCCCCGAAACCCTAAACCTAAACCCTAAACCCTGAACTCACCCAAGATCCCTGAGTCTCGGGGTTGGGGGGACGTACGCTTGCCCTCCCCGACTTGGATGTTTAGGAGTGCGGGTGAGCGTAATGCTGATGAGATAGGGTTTGCATATAATACTAGCAACAAAAACCACCACAACTGTCCGACTCAAGTGACAGCAAAACCGCGCAAGGTTGCGCCAAAGCTGTGCTCCGCAAAGCACGCACCCCTCGAACCCAAGGTTTATTCATCTGAGCCATAGCCCCAAATGGCCCCTAACCGTCAAGAAATGTACAAATGTATTCTTCAAACCCAAACTTTCGAAACCCTCGGCCCTCAGCTTCTTGAATGATTCTTCTGCCGTCAGAAATGGGTCGGATCTCTTCCGGCCCGGTCGTATTCGTGTCGGGCTAAGTCCCTCCGAAGATCTTTAAAGTGAAACTTTGGACAGCTGGTGGCGCTGTTGGTGCTGCCGCTGCTGCTAGTTCTTGTTTTGCAGACATAGTCATTGACATAGTCGTAATTACTATTATTACCAGTAGTTGTAGTAGTAGTAGTAGTAGTAGTAGTAGTAGTAGTAGTAGTAGTAGTAGTAGTAGTAGTAGTAGTAGTAGTAGTAGTCAGTAGTAGTAGTAGTGGCAGCAGCAGCAGAAGAACAAGGCACAGGACCAAAGCCCACCGAACGTTTTCCAGCGACAAATGCGGCTTCGAAGCTGCGACGAGGAAAGACATGCGAGAAGAGATAAAGCTTGGAGCAGGCTCAGCATGTTCATAGAAGTTGCCTTCCAGGGTAGTCCCTAGGGTGGAATGCTTGTCATGCGGGTACCTTGCGGGATATGATTCCTAGCACCCCATCACAGTCCTGGTGTGTCTGTATATATACATATGCATATGTACAGTACATGTGTGTATATGTTTTACAGATAGATCGATGGAAATAGATAGATCTAGTATACAGCATTGTTGCAACATCATCATACAACTCCAACAAAAATCATAGACATCATCATGCTAGCTTAGATCATTGACCAAATGCTGAGGAATACCTCGTAGCGCTCCGAGGCCCCGATTCAAGTGTTAAGGACCCGAGAGTGTTCAGGCTCTGGGTTTCTCTGCTCGTACTAGGGAGATCGATTCGCATGGCTAGGATACGATGTACTCTCATTCCTCCCTATACATCTAGATATATACATATATATATATATATATATGACAGTTAGACTACAGTTCTTTGCAACACCCCATGGCTCATGGAGCATGTCAAGAGAACTGCTTGCTCACACTAAGCCGCCCTTGACCCTAAACTCCAAGCCCGAAACCCTAAGCCCTAAACGCAGCTTGACTACAGGCCCAAGTGGTCCTATGTACCGATATAGTAGAATGTAGGGTTTCCATATGAGGAATTACTTTTATGACTTAGGGAAGTATCCCCCAGAAGAGTACATATAGGACCCTTTGGGAGGCTTTTCGGCAGTATGCAGCCAGCCTCGACGCCGAGGCATGCCATCACCAAGCAAGCCTAGCAGGTTTCGGGTTCAGAGTTTAGGGTTTCGGGTTCAGGACGTACGTATTGTCGACTGATGAAAGGAAGCATCCGTCGTAGTATTGACCTTGCTACAATTCAAGGAAGCTCCGCAAACTTTACTGTAATTTCGGGGAGCCCTACTAAAGATTTACAAAGCCCGGCTATAAGTTAGCCAAGTCATATTCCGAACGGAGACAGCCGCTGAGGGCTCTATCGGTAGCTTCTTTTCAAGTTTCCGTCGATTTGGGAACTTCGTTTCGCCACCAGAACGTGTTTCCGTGTATATTCAGTATTCCTATGCTTGTACTGCAAGGAGCCCTGCTCTCATCATCAAAGCCCTTACAGTCCAATATCCCGAAGCTAAGGAAGGAACCGCAAGCCAAATTTGGGATCAAAGAAATGTAAAGAATGACCTAAATTAAGGACCCTCAACCCTAAAGCCCTATAGATCCGTTATAGAACCCTTTAAGGAGCCGTGAAAGGAAGCCAAACAGTTCCGGAAGAAAGGGAAATTCCCAAAGGGTGCGAGCGACTGTTATGAGGGGTTACATCCCCAAATCATTTTTTTAACGGTTTAGAGTTTAGGGTTTAATTCCGAATCTAGAAGCCCTACATTCTTCCATTTAGGTACCTTGGAGCTTTTGGGATTGGAAGGTCTGGGTAGCTCCGTCGCAGGAAGTGGCTTCCGTTTCAAGGCTTTTAGGGTGTACGGGGTAGGGTTCAAGATTTAGGTCTAGGGTTTTGGAAAGCTCAGGGTTTAGGAAATTTGACGGTTAGACCTCAGCGATGTTTAGGTTTCTTCGGGGCATTGGGAGGAAGTTTGAGGTTCAGCTTTCAATAGTAAGAATAATAATAATTTAATAATAATAGTAATAATAATAATTATTATAATATTAATAATAATAATATTATTAATAATAATAATAATCAGTACCTTCCAGGGGGCTGCTAGCAGAGACGAGCTGGTCTTTTCACGAGGCTGTCAACTGTAGCCACCTTTCGAAGTTCACGTGGTTTCTCAATTCAACTCTCTGACGAAAATCAGTGAACCAAACAGTGAAACTGCTATCGAGTTGGGTTTGCACGCGTTGTCTGCAAAAAGCGGTTGAGCAAGGTCGGAGTCTGTAATGATTGTCATGTGCCCCTGTACAACGTCTGCGGATTGCGACTAGTGAGGTTTTAGCACGTTTCGTTTGGGGCGTAGGGCTTTATGCTTGCAGCTTCCGCTGCTTACTCTTGATTATGTGCATCGTGTGCAGGCCATCGACAAAATATGCGCCGAGCACCATCGCAGGCCAGGGCTTTGCCTTGTAGGGTTTGGGGTTTAGGATTTGCGGTTTGGGGTTTAGGGTTTGAGGTTCAGGGTTGAGGGTTTGGCGTTTAGGGTTTAGGGTTTATATTCTCTTCGGTTCAGTTTTGCAAGCCCTGGAACTTGTTATGGCTGGATTGTTTCAGTCAAAAACAGAGAAACCTGATTTCCGGCAGCTGGGATATGGGAGTTTCCGAAAATAGGGGACCCTAATATAGTACCCTAAATAGTAGGATCCCTATTATAAGGACCCCCAAATAAGGTACCCCCAATTTTCGGAAACTCCCATATTGCATCTCTTAACCTCAGACCTTTGCGGAGAACCGTGGATCGGGCTGCCACCATTGTACCCTTCAAGGTCAGAATGTAGCTCTTTTGCTACTAGTGACGGGCATTTGCCTGTCCATGAGGAGAGCCCAGGTGACGACGATGCCGATGTTGAGGTGATGACGAGGGTCATCAAAGGTAAAATGCTGCTGCTGCTGCTGCTGCTGCTGCTGCCGTTGTTGTACATATTGCTGCAGTAATACTCAGTCGTAGTGGCAGTGGTAGAAGTCGTCGTAGTCATAGTGGCATTAGAAGTAGAAGTAGTAATGCTTGCTCGTCGTCGGTAACGCGTTTTTCCCGGAGCCCAATCGGGATCTGGTATGTTGCTGTCCTCTACAACGCGCAGGAACATTCGCACAGATTTGGCTTCGCGCTTTCGTTTCTGCTGATGGTCAATCTTAGCTGCTTCAGTAGAGTAGATGATAGCCGGAGGCCGGAGAAAAGTCGTTTCAGCATTCTATCGGCTGCTGCTGCTCCCGTTGCTGCTGCTGCCGTAATGATCTAGGACCCAGTGTAGGGCCTTATTCCCTTTTTTAGGGTTTAGGTTCCCTTATAACCCCCTTTAAACCAAAAAGGGCACCCTTTTTATTCCTAGGTTACTCTTGGGTCTAGTGATAGTCGCTGTCGTCGTGATCGTCGTCGTCTTCTGCTCGTTTTGTTGAGTAGCCGAGCCGGCCCACCGAGACTTCTGTAGGCAAACTGGCATGAGCACAGGTGCTGCCCTTGGCATTCGGGCAGGGCTTTGGGAGGCTTCAGAATACAGGTATAGGACTTAGGGTTCAGGTTGAGGGTCTGTAGGAGTCAGGGCCCTGGGTTCAGGACCTAGGACTTTTATGCATCTAGGGCTTTTCGTGTTTGAGAGCCGCATCTCTTCATGGCATATTTGTAGGATCTTGAGGACCTGAAAGCCCCAAACATCTAGTATAGAAGCCTAGTAATCCTTTGGGCTCCGTGGCATTTTCTTGCAGTTTTACAATGCCATACCTCAAACACCCTGCTCGAATTATTTGTGTTTTCTCTACATTATGCAGGGCTGCAGGGCCTGACCATTGGGAGTTCTGGCTTCATGGGCGCATCTAGCCGTTTGCTGTTGCTGGCACATCATTACATCTGTGGGTACGTTTTAAACATATGGTGTTATGTCATAGCTGCACATGAACATGAGTTCTTATCCATGGGTGATCATGACGCATGAACGCCGGACCCTGCGCACTTGAGCTCCTCCATCGGCAAAGGGCGGGCTGTTCTCTGCTGGGATTTCCTGTCGTTTTCGGAGTAGGATTGTTCGGGCAAGATGGCTGTCTCAAAAACCCTAAACCCGAAACCCCTCTGCAGACTGAAAAAGGTGTTCAAAAAAACCTGTGCACAATAGCGCGGGGTCTAAATTGTGTTCATACTCCGATCGGCTTTGGGCTCAGAGTTGGGCACTGTGATGTTATGACGGCATTTCACCTGCTGGGTGGAGGAGCCCGTCTGTCGCCGAATATCATGAATTCCCCTTGATCGAACAACGGTCAAAGCGCTCTCCCGTGACGGTCCCAGATCCAAGACGACCTTGTCACAGTTTCCATGCGAAACCCTACACCCCAAACCCTAAACCCCAAAACCCTAAACCCTAGTGAGGCGCCGGTATCTACAAAGAGGGACTTTCTCATGCCGTCAAGGGCCA